CTGCTTCAACGGGGCCACCTGCTACCCCGGCCGCTCCCCCGACAGCTTCGTCTGCAACTGCCCCTACGGCTTTGTGGGTAGCCGCTGCGAGTTCCCTGTGAGCATGCCACCCAGCTTCCCCTGGGTGGCTGTCTCCCTGGGCGTGGGGCTGGTGGTGGTGCTGGTGCTGCTGGGCATGGTGGCCGTGGCTGTGCGGCAGCTGCGGCTTCGGCGGCCGGACGACGGCAGCAGGGAGGCCATGAACAACCTGTCAGACTTCCAAAAGGACAACCTGATCCCCGCCGCCCAGCTCAAGAACACAAACCAGAAGAAGGAGCTGGAAGTAGACTGTGGCCTGGACAAGTCCAACTGTGGCAAACAGCAGAACCACACATTGGACTATAATCTGGCCCCAGGACCCCTGGGGCGGGGGACCCTGCTGGGGAAGTATTCCCACAGTGACAAGAGCTTAGGGGAGAAGGCGCCCCTGCGGTTACACAGGTGAGCAGCACCTGGAGGCCCAGGGCCTGGCCACAGGCCCCTAGTGGTCCTGCCTGGGCTCCCTCAGGACAGGTTGGAGGCTGGCACCGGGCCTTTGACTGCTTTTTAGCAAACGGGGTTTTGCTACTGATTTTCCAACAAAAGTCCTGCCAGGGGTCTTTTTCCCTCCCTCACATTCATTCATTCGTTCATTCACAATGTCAAGTGCCCACATTGTGTCTCTTGTGACTTCCAGCTTTCTCTGCCATGGCAGGCCTCTAGTGGCAATGCTGGCTTTGCCAGGCCTGAGACGCTCCGATAAGATTGGGGTCCTGTGGCTCTCTTAGGGGCCTGTTCCCACCTGTCCCCCAGGCTAATGTTGGGCATCTCCAGTCCTGTGTCTTCTCCCAGAGCCACTCATGCCAGTGCCCTTTGGCGCTCCAGGCTCCAGGTTGGTGCCCCCACCCTTCCCCCAGCCCTCTCCCCATACCTCCCTCAGCGACCTGTCTTGTGTTCCCTTAGTGAAAAGCCAGAGTGTCGGATATCAGCGATATGCTCCCCCAGGGACTCCATGTATCAGTCCGTGTGTTTGATATCAGAGGAGAGGAACGAATGTGTCATTGCCACAGAGGTGAGTGCTGGGCTCGCCTGTCCTTCCAGCGTGGCCCTGCCTGCCTTTTGGGGGATGGGAAAGTGGTCTGGTTACTCCTGACCTCAGGGGCCACTCCGGGGTGGGTCAGGACCCTTCCTTGGCAGGCCAGGTTCAGTGGCTCTTGGGTCCCTGCTAGTCTCGTTGAAACAGAGGGTGTGAAACAGGAGCCGTGCTGGTGAGCCCAGCCTGGTCTCTTCCTGCTGTGTTAGTGCTGGGCTGGGCAGCCGTGGCACCCGGCCAGCTCCCAGGCACTGCTTCCCAGCTGCTGGTGGGTGAGGGTGGTTGCCTTGTGCCCCTCCTGCCCCTTCTCCCTGGCTTCCTCCATCGGCCCACTTAAGAGCACAGGCCCCCAGGCAGGTGCTTGTGCTGGGACAGAGGATCAGGGGGGGCCTGCCCTCCCTTCCCTTCACCCCATCTGCCCTATTGGCTTCTCCCAGGGAGGCCCAGGGCAGCCATGGAGGGAGGGCGTTGTACGCCAGGGTAACCCACTCTCCCACTCTCCACATGCTCCCCAGGTATAAGGAGAAGCCTCCCAGGACATTCCAGCTTTGCCCAGCAGCTGGACCTTCCTTCTGCATTGTTTACATTGCATCCTGGATGGGACATTTTTAATATGCAACGTGCTGCTCTCAGGAGGAAGACGGAATGGCATGAACTGGACAGACTGTGAACTTGCCAAGAGATGCAGTACCTTCCACACCTTTGGGTGTCTGTCTGGCATCAGATTGGCAGCCGCACAGCCAGGGGAACCGAGAAGAGGAGAGGCGCCACTGGGACCTGCCCTGCCAGCAGTGGCCTTCAGAGGGCTCCTTTGGAGTCTGGCCTGTTTTCCAGAGGGAGTGGCAGTGGTCCCGTAGGGCCCGGAGCTGCTGCGGCCTCCACTGGCATCTGTGTTTCCAAAAGTGCCTTTGGCCGAGGCTCCATGGTGACAGCTGGGTCCAAATCAGAGAGGAGAGAGGAGGCCAGTAAGGGCAGGGCCATCCGTGGGCCAGGAAACCACCAGGTGTGGCTGTTGGCAGGGGTTGCCCTGCAGGTGAGGTGAGCACCCAAAGTGGGAGGAGCACTTTCTGCCCACGTGCCTCCAACGGCTGCGTTTGGGCTGTCTTCATAACACCACCCAGCCGCTCCCTGGGCAGGCCCACTGGGCGAGAATGTTGGTAAGCCTTACCTGGCTTCTACAGCCTCTGGTTTTGGGTGCCTCTGGGCTCCTGTGAGCAGACAGGTGGAGGGCCAGCCAGGGGTGCCGGGCCTAACTAGGGAGCTCAGGGCAGCGATGTTGGAAATCCCAGGAGGGAGAAATTGGGTTGTCATCACCCAGGCCCTTTCCTCCCTCAGGCCCATTCCTATGGCCTTGAGTCTGAGCTCTCCCCATGCCCACTACTGCCCCTAGTGGATCTTCAGAAATCAATAATATGAGTTTTTATTTTGTTTGTTTTTTGTAGTTTATTTTGGAGTCTAGTATTTCGATAATTTAAGAATCAGAAGCACTGACATTTCTACATTTTATAACATTATTTTGTATATAATGTGTATTTATAATATGGAACAGATGTGTATAGGAGTTTATTACTTCTTGGGTCCTGTCTTTGTGATGGCCGAGTGGGAATGCTGTCCCCGTCCTCTCTGACTCCCCTTCCCATACTGCTGCCCGCTGCTCCACCAGAACCCCTGGGCCCTGTGCATACACTGGGGCCTGGCCTGCTGTGCTCCAGGCGCTTGTCCCCTTCCAGTCCTTGGGAAGCCTGGCCTCGCCCATCTAGTCCCAGCCCCGACCAGTCTTCCCTGCCTGATGGTTGGAGGCTGTCTGCGGCTCTACATCCTCCTTATGCTCCCAGCATTCCTTGGGTGATATGCCCTCTGACCTAAATCTGTCCCTTTTTTCTCTCAAGTCTGAAAAAGCTCATGGGCTCCAAAGTCAGCCTGGGGGATATAGGAATTTGGGGGAAGAGGACAATCCTGCCTGTTTTCCTCTCTTTGAAAGGATTTGGTTGTTGGAGAATGGAGTCTCTGAACCATGCTGACATCTGGGTCCCTCTTCCTGCCAATGCAGGGTTTTAGATGGACTGGCACCTACTCTTTTTCAGCCCCGTAGGGCACTGGTCTTGGGGGAGGGGTTCTTTGCCTTGGCCTGTCCTCCTTGCAGCTGGACAAGAGAGCTGAGTCTGGGCACCTGGTCAGCAGGGAGGGGAGGAAGAGGAGAGGGTGGCCTTCCTGAGTCCAGGTTTCTGTGGCTGAGACACTAATGAGGGAGTTGCCAGTTTCAACTTCATGCCTCGTTTCCTCTAAGGTGCAGAATGGTCCTAGGCTGCCACCGTCCTCTTTTTACAGCCACAGATATACCCCATGGAGAGCAAATGATGGGAAAAAAAGCCATTGACAAAAAGCTGAGCAGATGCTCCCAGCCCTCAGCCTGTCCACAGTAAGGCAAAAGAGGCCCGCCAGATGCTCCCAATGGAGTCCCAGTATATGCAGTGCTACTTGCCTCCCTTTTCCTCTTTCTCCTGCCACACACACAGCACGCCTGCCCCTGATCCGGGTGCCTACGCCAGAGACCCGGGAGCCAGAGACCTAGGCTCATCTCACTCCCTGCACGCACAGGCTCCACGCCTCACTCATTGGTCCCTGTTCCCTTGTTGCACACACAGGGTATCAAACAGGAAAGCATTCAGGGAACCGTTCCCACAGCCTGAGCCGGCAGCAGGGGGAAGAACAACACGACCTCACTCTTCCTGCCCAAAATGAAACAGGAAAGCGGCTCCCGGACCCTGGGGGGGCGGGGGGAAACTGGGCTGGGACACGCAGGCCAGATGACGAGGCTCCCATGTGGGGGACAGGTAGGACACCCGCAAGCCTGCACGTCCACACCACCCGGCTGTGCTGGACTGCACTGGCTGCCAGCACCTCAAAGAAAAACCCTGCAGAGGAGCTGGCTGGCTAGACCCACTCTCTGGCTCTGACACCCTAGGCAGAGAGCTGGCAGAGCCCACCACACCAGCTTTCTGGGGAAAGAGGTCTGGGCAGCTCGACTTGTAGCTCAGGCCAGTCTCCCCCTCTGTCGACATGGCAGAAGGTGGGCCAGGCACTTGGGGTGTGAACAGACCACGGTGGAAGCCCTCCTCTCCCCAGGATTTCCAGGTCCCTTCCCGAGGGTCCAGCCCCTTCTCTTAGTTAAGGTTCCAAAGACCCTCCTGATGGAGTGTCCAGGTGCACGGGAGAGCGGTCCCAGGCTTGGCAGAAACAAGGCTCTAGACTCGCTGTGGAGTACACGCCACGGCTTAGCAAATGCCCATGTTTAATCAGCACGGGTATTTCACAAGAGAATTCAGAGCGCAGCAGTTCCTGAACAGCCTGGAGGCAGCCCTGCCTGCAGGGTAAGTCTGACCCCACAGTGACCTCCAGCTCTGAGGACAGCTGCCTTTTCAGGGCCCAGTGGCTGGGAAACACCTGGATATCACTGCAGGGAGGTGAGTCAGGGAGAAGCTGTGAAGAAGAAAAGAATGAATGTCTTTATCCTGCTTGCTCAACTACGGTCCCCTCCGCTGCCACAGGGCCACGGTCAGACTGGTCAGGGGGGTATAAAATGGTAGCGGCTCCTACCTCGCCCCATCCCAGCTAAATGAAGCCAGCAGAGTAAACGCAGGCAGTATGGATACTGCACCCCCAACGGGGACCCGCAGGGCTCTCCCCTCCTTGCAGCACTCCCAGTCTTTGCGTGGGTCCCCAGGATCCGCTGGCCCAGCCCCTCCTCGCCCCCCACGTGGTCGGCTGCATTCCGGGAAGGGGATGGAAGTGATTCACTCCGGGGACGATGACTGTCCCTTCCCGGGGAGAGGATGCGCCCGGGAGGTCCCATCGCCTTCCCAGGGCGGCCGCGCCCTCCTTCGCGTCCAGGGCGCGGGATCCGACCC